GTTGCAACTTACAGAATACGGGCATGTCATCTGACATTGTGGTTGCATGTTGAAAGAACTTCTTGCATGAGCAGTGGGTTTCACTCCAGTGTGCCATTTGATATCCTAATTACATTTCAAAAGTATTATCATATACACACATGAATGCATCATATGAAATGCATCTAATGGCATATTCCTGCATTGGCCCTATGAGCATGTTCTAGGTAAATATGTGATGTTAGAGAATGTTGTGCGAGTTAAGAAATATATTTAGATTCAAACTTGATCCTCTATCAACTAATAGATAGAGTTGTCAAGATTTAATCAACAAAATAAAATGTTTATAAACTCCCCAATGATGGCCGTGTTGAATGTTTATGTCAACCTGAGGGGGTCAAATATTTAAAATGCCCTCAAACTCATACAAAATGTAAATATTTTAAAATGACTTCAAAGATACCTCGATGATGGCTGTGTTGAATATTTATTTCAACTAGAGGGGACCATAACTATTCAAATGCTCCAAATTCCCCTCCAAATATTTAAAAATACCAAAATTCAAGATATTTAAAATTAAAATTAAACCATTAAACACTCAATGTAAACACCCACCACCCTGCGCAACGATTTGTCGAGGTGAAAAAAATCTAAAAACTTATTTAGCTCATGAAGAGCTAATGTCTAGTCAATAATATCACTACGATTTATTATCAATCTGTCTCGTGCCAGTGATTTCACCGTCAAATAGCATCACACCTATAGTTTAAGCGGGACCCATTGAACTTGGTGGTTCATAGTGAAATAGCACCATTATATTATGGTCATGGTCTGCGTCTGTATGTTCACCAAAGGTGTTAAATTTTTTAGTAATGAATCAATAGGATATGCTCGATCAGGCACAAAGCCCTCCATTAGATAAGGTGGATTCAAATTTCTCTCCTTAGGCAAACATTCACCCCAAATCTACATGGTACCCTTCGATGACGTAATCATGGCTTCTGACAAAAATCCATCTGTCAGGTTGGGATGACTACCTCCTTTGAAGTAGACCAGGGACCACAGTGGCTAGGGATAATGGAACCATGGGATCTTGATCGGGCTCATCATCACTCCCCTCAAAATCCGCTTTAAGGGCAAGATGGTGCAATTTTCAATTTTAAATATCAAAATTTTAGATATTGTTACAGATCTATGATTTATGATTTTGATGATAG